TAAACTGGAACAGCCACCAGCTTCATTTCTACTAAGTATGGATTTGACCTCCCATTTTTAATAAGTGGACTAATTAAGCTAGACTTCTACCATCATGTCTATTCTAACAAGTTGCAAAGTAGCTGATGGCCATCTTTATCAGCTAAAATAAACGTTTTCCATAAGGAAAACAGAAGCACATTCATGTGAATCAAAACAAACTTTTGCTATTTCACTCTGGTATGATACATTCTTTCCAAATAAAACTGAATTTGTTTCTTTATGTATCACTCACTCACAAGCTACACTTCCTGTAATAACAAGCAATGAACATCAATTGCCTCAAAGCAAACAAACAAACAAACAAAAAACCTACAAAAATCTGAAAACATCCAGAGACCAAAGATAAAGGAGGTGTTTCAATATCAACAGTGCTTTAAAAAGTATAGACTATTACTGTCTAGTAAGAGCTATGACTGGACACATTTTTTTTCCAGTAATCGAACTGCGTTAGTGCTGCCCAATGGGTTTCCCTCTTAACTATAATTCTGAATGCAGCTACAGTACAGGAACAGATAAAACTGAGGCTGTGGTTTTGTCTCCGTGGAGAAAACTGAAACATATGCAATAACTTCTTGTGAAAATAGCTCTAAGAATACTGTACCTGAAATAAAAAGTAATTTTATTTTGGAATAATTACTCCAGTGGAATTATTTTAGGTGGGTAGCTATTATAACACTGCAATGTGATAAATGTGGAATAGCATTTTCCAACACAGACACATTCTGGTAAGCCAATCATGCAGATTGAATTAAAAGGCATAAAGAGCTAATGGGAAACAGAAAGTAGAATTCAAGCAGACTTAAGAACAATTAAACAAACAAATAAATGTCAGATGTCTGCCCACGATTTCATTCCAACTAGCTTTATAAAAAGGAAAATAGCTAAATCATCTATCCCTGCACATGAACACAGATTTAATTCTACCACCTGAAGGCAACAGGTGGCTTCTGAAGTGTCTGAAAGGCCAAATTTAAAAGACTGATTACTAAACAACAGTACTGAAAACTATAGAAAGGCTTAAAGCACTGATTTTTTAAAAAGAGGGGAAAAGTCCCTTCCCCACCTCCTTTTTCAGCAATTATATTATTACTTAGAGAAAACTCTAGGGATACATTTTAAATGTTCTTGCCTAAACTACACAAGTATCTTTATGCTGTTTCCTCCGCTATGGGAAATCATAGGCAACGTATCAAAACATAAGCATATCAAAGAAACTGTATTTAAGAACAACTGTGATCCTTGACAATTTTATCTTTCATACTACTGAAATGAAATTAAAAACAGAAAGAGTTTAGAATTTCTTCCTTGAGTAAAGTGTATTATTTACCTAGGAAAACAAAAGAAATCATGACACATTTTTATTTGTCATGTTCTTAAAACCTTGTTAGTATCTATGGAATGCTTCAGTATCAAGCATAATGCATACTTAAAAATCTCAGTCCATCTAGACTTATGTTTTCAAGTGAGAGCCCGTAAGTTACGACAGAATGAACTGCTCACTCTCAATCCACCTGTGGAATTGTCCTTGTACCACTCAACAGGAGCAGAAACCATGACTTCCATCCCACCTCAAACCACCACACTACTACGTTTATTTTCCTTTCCTTCTCTAGCTTCTGACCTAAACTGTTGGGGATGTTAGTTCTTCTAAATTAAGAATCTTGATGTAGGTGTTGCTGGCCACAATTCATCAACATCATCGAGAATGAGAGCAAAAAATGCCCAGCTTCACCTGGTTTTACTCATGATGAATATTCTAAGTCCTTACCAATGGCCCCAGTGCCCCAAAATTCGAACTAGGTCTCTCAAAGAAGAGTGGATGCCGGATGAAAAGTAAGAACATCTTCCCCCAGTAAGTGACTTACCACATAACTACCACACGAGAAAGTAACTACAGACAGAGTTGCTGTGAGTAACACGGCTTTCAGACCTTGTCCAAAAATCTAAAACAAAGCTCAGGATCCTATTCTATGTACTGTGATTTATATAAGGAATCTCATTTGACAATTCACAAAATGACAAACTAATAAATTCTCTCAAAACAAGAAAAGAAGCACAATGTCTGATAATTGTTTCACTTATGACCATACTAAAAACTGCTTATTAGGGAAAATTCCTAGAAAAAATCTCCCCACCAATAGGATAAGGCTTATGGAGAAGATGCACATTGGCAGATGTGCAGAAGTTCTTGTAAGGAATATGATGCTTCTCTCAAAGCTGCTTAAACTTGATTTTATTTCAGGTCTGAAACTAAATTTTTTTTTAAATAGATTTAGGCTGTCAATTTCCAGGCATGCTGTGCCATCAACATGTAGAGACTGCTGTGACAAACGTGGAGGCTGTAGCAGCAAATTTTATTATAAACTGGTAATTGAATTGAACAGGTTTACATTTGAATAGATTTACTGCCGCATGATCTCTGACATGCAGCATGGGACTGAAATCCTTGTCTATACATAAAGAAACATTTAAGATACCCTGAGCTGAGATAATGCCTGCTATAAGTCCATAGTAACCAATAAATTTACACCACTTTACACATGAAAAGAAAGAGGTATATCATCTTTCTTTATTTTCTGTGCATAAAGGATGTTTTAAAATCCGAAGTGAAAAAACTAATCCTCAGACATTAGCATACATTTAGAAAAAAGAAAAAGAGAAATCCAACAAAAAAAGACCAATTTGTCTCTCCATCCAACAACAAACCAAATATATTCCAAAAGTTCTATAAGTGTAGCACAAATCAGCACTGTTCCAAAAGTAGAAGTGACCATGAAAGCATACAGGAAAACAAAACCCACTTTCTAGCTCTTTTAAGTTACCATGTTAGATTGTAGGTAAGCATTGTTTGAAAGGAGTATAAGCTAACTCACTCCTAAATACAGAGACCCAGTGATTAAAAATAAGTAGGAATCTCAGCATGTTTCAATAGAAAGACTCACAATAAGAGTAGAAGAACTAAGATTTGTTAGGGAGTTGGGCTAACAAAGGAACACTCCCTTTAAAAGAATTAGTTCATCACTGCAGAAAGATATGTCTGTTTAGGGTGGACCACTTATGTAATGAATAAGAAAACTATTCCTCAGTTATCATTTATGCAAAAAAGTCCAATCACTTGACTCTGAATTCTCTAATTGTTTCAGTTACTAAAATTATGTGCATAGAAGTAGCACTTCTGCGCAGAACTTTGAATAACTGACATAACTACTCATTTGTAGAATAGACACTAACTTTCCTCATACAGACCCAGAAGCTACACACAAACTAGATTTTCAAGTGTTAAAGTTAAGTCAAGTTAAAGGACATGCAATTCTATCCCCAGAATTTAAAAGAAGGCTAAATCGGTTCACCTGTATGGACTCTTAGTGGCACTGTTCTGTTTCCAATCAGGTTGTTCAACATATCTGTATTAGGCTGCTAGTGATACGGGACAACGAACTTACCAAAAAGATGTTAAGCACAGGTCATTTCAAAAGGTGCCATGCTGAAATGCTCCTTTCATTCTACTGTTTATTTAAGCTTCACAGCTTTAAACAGCTACTTAGTTGCCAGCTACATCAGGATTCCTGGCAAATGAGGAACTCACCCACTACCACTGGAAGAAAGGGTCAAATCCTGCCTTTCCTACTGACTCAAAATCCCCATCGAATCTGACAGTTTTGCTCAAGTAAGACTTAGGACAGCAGGATTTGGCTCAAAGGATCCCAGCGTCTGCCAAAGCAGTTGTACAGAACAAGGTTTATTCTTAGTAAGTATAATCCAATAAGAATATGTCTGTAGGTGCGTGATAGACCTAATTTGCCCATCATCTCTCCATTGGTCTATGTTGTTCCTGGATTTTAACCCAACAGATGCATACCTAAACGTTTCAAATTACCATCAAATAATTTGCAAAAATTAGCCATCTATTAAAGCCAACATTTTAAGCACTGACGAAACAAAACTGTAAGGGACTATTTTGAAGTGGTTACTTAGCACAGAGTACTTTCCAATGAAGACAATATTTAGAGAGAATTATATTGACTTTAGTTTAAAAGGTTATGGAGCTCAGAAGTATGAAATGTATTCTGCTATTCCTTCTTGGTAGTAACAATGCACCATGATAATAAGACGTACAATATATGCACATTAAAAATGTTTTTGCAAATACATTAATATAATGCATGGCAGGCAACCGAGATTTTAGGAATTATCTTATTCTATAAAACAAATTAATTAGGTTCCAAGTAGGATAGCACAGCTTCTTGGAAACATTTTCATACGTTTATCTGTTAGTAAATATCTTCAAAACGTAACTGAAGAATTAAGCACCCAATGCATACTTACACTGAGGGCAGGGGTTTTCATATGCTTAAAAAAAAAAAGAGGGGTGGATTCTCCTCTTCTGTATGCCGGCATTTGCTGCAGTGCAGTTACAACAACTTCTGCAGATATGCTCAAGATTTATGTATGTTTAATTGAGAGATAACCCTTTCACTTGTCATGATGGCATTAAGAATAAGCAGAAGTGGGGAGAAGAGGGCACAGTGTATAGTTCTGCTGTATTTGGGAGAGACTAACAGAAGGTTAAAAAATAATAATAATAATAATAATAATAATAATAATAATAATAATAATGAAAGAAATAAATCTTTGAAAAGTCAAGATGTAAAAGTTTTAAGAAAAATGATAGGATACCTCCTGATGATTATTCTAATAGTTATCTACTGAAAGAAAGTGAATGCTGTGGCACATTTTCTGTATTTCAGCTAAGAATAAATGTTCCAGAGAAGATGCATTCCATGTAGATACACCACAATTCCTTAGCTGACATTTAAGACTGTCAGGAAGAGCAAGTATACTTGAAAATTGCCTTTACAATAACCGATCAGAACTCTCACCTATCTCTTCTTTCCTGATTGCTCTACAGTTGTTGAATGCGTTTGCAGAGAGATAGGTATTGACTTGATCAGTCTTACCTTCTTTCAGCATGCCAACTTTTAGACACTTCATGAAGCGGCAGGCTTGGCAGGACTTGCGTCTGCGCTTTGTGATTTCACATTCGTTTGTTGCTGGGCAGCTGTATTCTATGTTACCTGTGATAGAAAGCCCAGAGAAAAAGAGGTATTCAGAATAAACGAACAGCCAACAGAGCAGATATAAGTGTAGTTACACCACTGCTGTACATAAAGTACATACATGTACATATATGAAGAATAAACAACTGTACAAAAAGAAAATATCTTTTAAGAAAAAAGAAACCAAGTTAGACAACAAAATATTTTAATTTAGACAGCTGTATGTTAAAGACAATAATAATTTAAAAAAAAATCTTGAGTTCATATCTAGATCCATGCACAGTCTCAAGCAAAATCCTTCACGTCGGTTACTCCTGCTGGTGGGATGTATCAAGCCAAACATACAAAGGCTCCTAACATGAGCACTCTTCATTTCCTGTTATTTGCAGATGTCATCAGCCTTTCTTTGGATAGAATACCAGAATGACTGTTACGTTTTATTTCAAAAAGACCTGGAAGAAATTTTGTAGGACTTCACTCTTCTCCAAGAACTACATCGTATCAGACAGGACTTGGCTGTGCTGCTATCGCTGCCCACTGCTATCGCTGCCCAGCACATCCCACCACTGGTGCATCAGATCTCCTTGCCTGGAAACACTCCTATCTGTCTGCACTTCACATGAAGTTCTTCTATTGAGAGGCATCAGAAACAGGATCATCCTCAGATGATTAGAACAGCAAAAACTACAGGAGATGCTTGCCTCTGTTTCTTCCAACCCTCCCTCTGTAAGACCAAGCACAAGCTAGATTCTTAAAGATGAGGCCTCTGTGGCAAAGCACTGATGCAAGTTTTTATTATTATTACTAATACATAGCAGTAATCCTCGAAAATAAGTCTGAAAATTAATGGGAAGGCCATGCATAAATCATTTTCTTTATACCGTTTTCAAATCATGTCTTTGGGAATCCAAGTCCAAATTAGGAAGCATCTATTCTCTTTTGTCCTGGTACCGCTGCATTCTATAAAAGCTTAGCTCAGCTTATTCTTCTGCCTAGCCACGCACCCTATTGCTCATGACTACATTCAGTATGACAGACTTCGTAGCAGTCAGAAGTTTTATCACCAAACTGACTTTTAAATAAAGTGTCTTCCCCATCAGCCTGTCACATCTTGCTTTAAAGGTATTTCTTTACTTTCTAACCCTTTCCCCCTGTGATTAAGTGCATTAGTATCTTAATGAAAATGCATTCTGTTTATTGCCCTCTTGGGAAGCAGGAGGTCATCACACCAAATGCATAAATTGTCATCAGAGACAGTCCGAGCATAATTGCAATTTTGCTGCTCCGTGTTTGCTGCACTCAGGGTCCATTGAAGTCCCCTGAAACATGTGCAGGTTCTAATAATTAGCATAGAGTCTGCCTGGGACCACAGCATTGATGAAATATTTCAGAGTTAATCACACTTTGTAAACACTGATTTATATTGACTACCTTTCTCCAGACTGATGTCTCCTCATTAAATATCACATTAGTGGATTGCAGGATTGTACAAAGACTCAAATGCTCAGCAACTGCTACTTCAACAGGAAGTAATACTTAAACCACTTACATCTACTGAAAATTGGTTAAGTATTTATGATAACGGAGGTCTGCACAGTAAGTTCTGCCAACAAAACCAACATATTTTGCAGGTTTTATTTCTCCTAAACATGCTGCATGGCTGAAGCAGCAACGTTGGCAAGTAAAATGGATCTTGGCATGGCTGAATACAAACAGCTCTCACTGACAAAACTTAAAACTTCAGTTTAGCATTCTTCCCCTTCTTCAACTCCTGTGAAGACACACATTTGAGAAACTGAAGGATACGGTGAATAGGAAATTTGGTGGAATGGCTCCTGCAGACCTGCCTTCTCAAATGCATTAACAAAACTAGAAAAATAATACTTCTAGAAGCATGAGTAGGAACAGATAGTAACGTCTTCTAAAAAGAAAAAAAAAGAAAAAAAAGAAAAAAAAAGGAAAAAAAAGGAAAAAAATACATTAACTTCTCATGCTCTAGTGAGACATTATCAGTAAGGCACAACCACTATGCATGGAGATCTTCAAAGCATTTCACAGATTTTATCTAGTTATAATAGATAACTTAGTAATACCATAGTAATGTATGTACTACTATCCCCAATTACAAAAAAAAAAAAAACAAAAACGTGCAATCAGATGTGTTTCACACAAGATCAAAGACGATCTTTGCACAAGGTCAACAATTACTGTGATCAAAATCCAGACAGATTATAACACAGCATGGCAAGTACAGAGGCAAGCAGAACATTCCCTAGGACAAAAGTCCAGGAGCTGATATCAAAAGGCAATACTGAAAACCAGAAAAATTTTGGAAGATTGCATATTTTCCTATGCAAACTCTTCTAATCCATACCTGCAATTTCAGCCTTACTCAAAACTCTGCAAACCACAGCAATCAATGGTCTATAGCATGATGAATCTTTTACTATCAAATTCAGGCTGCTCTACTTCAAAAAAAATATATATATATACATATATAGACTTTTTTTTTTTTTTTTTTTTTTTTTTTTTTTTTTTTTTTTACAGCAGACGCTACATCCTTATTTCTGATGTTAGAAAACAAACCTGGAAGATGTTGGAAAGAGTTCCTCCAATGAACTCAGAGGAGATACAGTAACCAGATTTATAGCTGCAACAGCTATTCAATCTTATCAACAGGACCATCTTATCTGGTCCTCCTAGTATTTCTGAATTTCAAAATAAGGCTAGAGTGCAATGAGAGTTCAAGGAAATTAAAATTGTGTTACCAATTCACATATGAATGCAGAATTTTATCAACTATCAGCACAGACAGACTTTGACTTTCCCTACTTCTGTTAGTGAGACTTTCTTATTTGAAAAAAAAAAAAAAAAAATTGGTAATTTTTAATAGATACATATGTTAAAATATGAGGACTGCTCTGAAAGTAAGATCACCTATTTTATCATGTTGGCTCATGACGTTAAAAGCAGTAAGGTGGTATGGCATTAGAGGCTGAACCTTCCCACCAATATCCCATTACATGTTGTTGCCATGTGACAGATGGCAGCATTGGGGCAGTCTGACAGAATGGTGTCTGACATGGAAGTGCATATGAAGCAAAGGTGTGCTGCTAAATTCCTCCATGTGGAAAAAATAGCAACCACTGACATTCATCAACGCTTGCTGAACATTTATGCAGGCCAAACAGTGGCTGTGAGCACACAGAGGTGTTGGATGATGAGCACCAACAGTAGTGACAGTGAGGTGAAAGACAAGCCACATTCTGGGCAGTCATACAGATTTTTACAAACATGCAGGCTTTTGTTCATTGCTGGCAAAAATGCACAAGCGATGGCGGTGACTATGCTGACAAAGTGTTCTGCAGCTGAGAATTTGCTCTATCAAAGTGTTATTGTGCTGTTTCTATGGAAATAAATAGGAGGCATTACTTTCAGAGTGACCTATATGTATGATACTAGAAATATGTTTTAACTCCAAAGTTTTAGTGGATCTACTTTTATAAAAATAAATTTACTTGGCCATCAATGCTCTCCTAATTACTTATTTTCTTCCATACAATATAATAAACAGAAATTATTCAAGCATTTGGCAATCTGTACAACCCAGGAGGATTCAGAAGGAAGTTCTGCCATTTACTTGCTCAGTGCATGGTGCTAGAGGCTGAAACTGAGCAGCTAATAAGAATACAAGTTTGACCAGTTCTGTCACTAGCTGGAAAGGTTGTCACGTTAAACAATGAATGAGATCAACATGGCAGTTTGGAGTCTTTAAAGCAGGCTGACAAGAGTGATAGAGCAATTTATAATATCTCCTGGCTGGTTTTCAGGAAGGACTGGGCGCTGATTACTTATTTCAGAGTCTTCTGTACAATTAGTTTGCAGGCAATATAATTTTCTCACTTACTGCTTAATAGAATCTTGCAGCTTGCTGACTGATAGAATAACAGCGAATAAGTAAAACTCCTGCCTGAAGTGCCAGAAGATAATTTGTATATTCCTTTCAGTAGCATAATGGACTTCTACAGTCTGGCAGCTAAAGGGCTGAGTAATGCAAATTAGGATGACGTTTGAAAATAAAAATATATGTCAAATCTTCACTCCCCAAACACACTGCCCTTCATCATAAAAATATAAAGGGATTTATGCTGAAGACCCTCTCCTCTACTCATTCACTGATGGGTATTTCAAATTTTTTTCCTTTTCTGCTGATTTTTTAAATATTATCATCTCTGCCACAAGATGAGAAAGTATTTCCAGCACCCTAAGCCTTCCAAAAGCAACTAACTCACTAAAAATAATGCCATTTCATCTTTAGGCAGCAAGTTAGCTGCTAAAACTTAATGCTGCATAACCTGCTCACTATTTTCAGATGCTTCAAACTGTAAGATCTTTGCAGACAGCTCAAGGATAAGTTGGCCAACACACCGTATTTTCCCCATGAGGTTTGGAGGTTATCTGGATGAGACATGGAGTCATAGTAAAACTTCACTGAAACAAGGACACACTTGATGGCTTTATGAGCCAGGCAACCAACTGGACTTAGCCAAAAGAATCAAGGCCCTTCTAACTATTGCTTGTGTAGAAGAGACTGTGACATGGGTCAGCAGACTGGGGGCCTCACAGTAAAAGGAGGAGTTAGAGCCAGGACAAAGGCCAAGCCACCAAAAGCAGAGACCTCATACCTTGGCCTCTCTCCCAAATGAAGTTCTTGTCATCAGCAGTTACAAATGAGGGATCTCACAGATACCTGACCACAGAGCTAGCTGTAGGAACTGGCTGCCATCTGTGGGATAGGCAGAAACAAAGTTCTCTCTTCCAGAAATACTGACAAGAATAGAAGATGAAGACACCAAAATCTTAGCAGCTTTATTTCCCTTTTCACGCTGTGACTTTTGACATTCAACGCTAAAGACGCAAACAGATTGATATGAACTATTGGAATCTGCCCACAAAATCTCTAGAATAAAAGAGGTGAGGAATGATGAGATACAGGTTGTAAAAAGATATAGATTGAA